ATCCGAATGCCATGTTCTTCTTCATATAATCCAGCTTCTCAGATTATATGGACATTCAGTAGAACCAGAGAAAGTTCAAGGTAGTACCTGAATCACAGAACCAACCTAAAAATGTGCGAGAAACTAGGGGAAGTTATGATGATGGCTCACACCTGCTCAGATAGACACTTGCCTCAGTAGTACGTTTTCCAGAGCCTTTGGATATTTATTCCAAAGCTTTCAAAGATTACCTTTTCATTTTTTAAAAAATGCACACTACCAGAGAACCAGCTGGGAGTGCTTATTCCGCCACACATTTGCCTCCCACTAGGAAATAAAGATTTCAGCACAGACTGGCAGGTGAGAGACAGTGACAGCTCTTTGGCAGCCAGGCTGCTTCCTGACTACTCCGGTGACATGTATCAGGGCTCTGGAGACAGATATTTTCAGGATCTGGTATCATGTGACCATGGTTTGCTTCTGCCCATTTTGATCTTGCAAGCTGAATCCAAGACACTCATACTGTTGGGTTTTATGATTGGGGGATGCCAACTTCTCCTTTCCAGCCACCCTTTTCTCAGACGACTGTTTGACAGTTCCTATTTTCTGTTCCAGGTGCCAGGGGAGAATGACAAGCAGTGGAAGCCAGCCTTGGTTGTGCTGACTGAGAAGGACCTTTTAATCTATGACAACATGCCCCGGAGGAAAGAGGCCTGGTTCAGCCCAATTCACACATACCCTCTTCTAGCCACCAGGTAGCAATGGCCTTGGGTTGGAGCTGACTTGTTTGACGTTCAGTGCTATGTAAAGCAACTGCCGTTATTTCGATGCATTATATGATTGCTTCCTGTTGTGTCAGGAGCTGAGAGCTCCTCAAGTAGGTTGTTGTTCTTAGCGCGTCAAGTTGGCCTGTGACTTACGGTGATTCCGTGCACAACAAAATGAGACATAGCCCAATCTGCCCCAGCCCTGTGATCAGGTTCAGATCGGACCATAGGGTTTTCATTGACTGACACTCAGTAGATCACCAGGTCTATCTGCTGAGCCTGTCATAGTCTGGGAGTGTTGCTAAAGTCTGTTCAGCATCCTGGCAACACCCAAGCATCCACAACCTAATAGTTGGTGCCTATGAGGTACACTGGCTGATCATTGAACCCGGGTCTCTCATATGGAAGGCGGCCTTTCTCCCCAAACCACTAATGCTCCCGTCCTCAAAAATACAGCCACGATTTTTTAGTCCGATAGGTTAATTATTAATTATATCATGTTTGGCCTCACTGGGTCACTGAGTTTGAACTGACTCAATGGCACTTAGTAATAACATGAGATAACACACAAAATGCTCACAGTCATGAAGAAACAATGGGATTTCTGGGATTAGCCCTATCTAACCACTGTTCTGCACTCCTGATGTGGTGCTGTAGAATCAGCACTGTACCACCAACCACAAGGTTGGCAGTTCAAACCTACCATCTGCTCCTTGGAAACCCTCTACAGGGTTGCTATGAGTCAGGACCAACTCAACAACACTTAACAACAACAGACATTTTCCTGGATCATCATGTCCCCCCCTTTGAGATGAAGCAAGCGTATGTGTATGCATTCATGAAGGAAGGGGATTCATTTCTTGGGTCAAAGAATGTCACATGAGAATGTTTCACTAGTGCATTGAAGCCTTGTTCTACCTGAGAAATCCAGTAGATTCTTCTTTAGTTGTATAATGGCACAGGGACTACTGATGTCTGTTTGGGTGTTAGAACTTTCATGTGAAAAACTGCCTTAATGTATTATATTCAGGTAGGTGTTGCTTAACATAATATAATGTATTATATTCAGGTAGGTGTTGCTTAACACCTACCTGACATTTGTTATGGGATTTTGTCACTGTGCAAACACCATGTTCTATGCAGGAGAGAAGTGTGCAGGCTGGTCACTGATAGGCTCCAGGGACCAATGAACCAAGGAACTGCATGAAAACTTGGGCTCTACCAATGTGTGTGGCCCCTGTGTGGTCACCACTTGGCTTCTGAGAGCTTTACCTAGCCCCCACCCACCCACCCACCATGCTATCCAGTCGGCCACTGTTCCTGCTCCTTCTCCTGAGCTAAGATCAGTGGCCAGCACTCTAGGAGGAGCTGAGGCTGTCATGTGATCAGGATGCCCCGGCAGAGTGGGCAGCAGCTTCAGTGGGGCATCCCATTCAGAGGCTCTGACAGTGTTTGTGCCATCCCTGCAGGAGGCACCTCACTAAGACAGGTAGCCATACATGGGTCAACAGGACCCCCTTTCTCTGCCTTCCCAGTGACAGAGCAGTCACAGGACAGGACAGCTAGTGAGGAACAGAACAGATCTCCAGGTCTTCATACTTAGCAAAGTATATACCTTACGTCCAGTTCTCTCATCAGGATTTCCAAACTCTGTAGGATAAGCGCTGTAGGACAAGCACTCGGCTGCAAGGTTGGTTTGCGCCACAAGGTTGGTGGTTCAAGCTCACCAGCCGCTCCTTCAAAACCCTATACAGGGTCACTGTGGGTCGGAACCAACTTGGCAGCACTTAACAACAGCAATTATAACTTAAGGAACCATAAATGTCTGTGCACTTGAATGTTGCCTGAAGGGAAGCAAAACAATACATATCTGTACTTGTCTTCTTCAAAGGGCTATTTGCTGAGCATAAGAACAAATCAGACCTGATGCTTGATTCAAGAAGTTGATGACTTTTGTGCTAATGGGCAAAACGTTATTCCTCCCTAGAATATTGTTGTTGTTGGGTGATATCAATTCAATTCCAACTCATTAGTGACTCATCAGTACAAGAGAACAAGACGCTACCTGATCCCATAACATCCTCACAGTTGTTGTTTGGGACCATTGCTGCAGCCACTGTATCAGTTCATCTCATTGAGGGTTTTCCTCTTTTTTGCTGACCCTCTATTTTACCCAGAAGGATGTCATTCTGGTCCTTCCAAAGCACATGAGGTGAAGGGTTGGCACCCTCATTTCTAAGACACACTCTGGCTGTACTTCTTTTCAAGATAGATTTGGTTTGTTCTTCTGGCAGTCCGTGATACTTGTTTGTTCAAGAGAAAGTTTCAGTGTCTCTTCTGACATTCACTTTTGTCCTTCCTTTTTTTCCTGTCTTTTAAATGATCTTTTGCATTCTCTATGTGTGATGTTCTTGTGTTGTCATCCCACAGCTCCTTGGCTCTTAGGTCATTGGTGTTCAGTACAACAAATCTGTTCTTGAGATGGTCTCTAAACTCAGGTAAGATATACTTAAGATTGGAGTCCTTTTGTGGCACTGTAGGATAAGCACTGAGCTGCTAACCATAAGGTCAGTGGTTCAAACCCACCAGCTGCTCCTCAGAAATCCTAGATAGGGTTGCTAAGAGTTGGAGCCAACTTGAAAAGTTATATTTTGACACTCATGGACTTGTTTTAAATTTTTCTTCTATTTTAGTTGTGCACTTGGTGATCTGTTCCGCGGTTGGCCCCTGGCCTTGTTTTGGCTGATGCTATTGAGATGTTCTCTATCATGTCTTCCCAAAGATATAGTCAGTTTGATTCCTGTATATTCAATCTAGCAAGATTCATGTGTATAGTCCGCTTTTATGTTGCTGTAAAACTGTATTGTTGTTGTTAGTGCTAAGTGCCATCAAATCAGTTCCAACTCATAGTGACCCTGTATAGGGTTTCCAACGAGCAGCTGTTGAGTTTGAACCACCAACCTTGTGGTTCAAACTGGCCTGGCAGTCCAGTGCTTTATCCAACAGAGCCACACCAATGAATGAGTCATGAGCTTATAAAATTCTACCATGCAATCTTCAGCTTCATTTCTATCACCAATGCCATAGTTTCCAACTATTGATCCTTTTCTTTGTTTGCAGCTTTCTCATTCCAATCACCAGCAGTTATCACTGCATCTTGATTACATGCTTGATCAATTTCAGACCAAAAACTTTGGTAGAATTCTTCAATTTCTTCATCATTGGCTTTGATACTTGGTACGTAAATTTGAATAATAGTTGTATTAATTGGTCTTCCTCATAGGTGTATGGATGTTATCCTACAGCATTGTACTCTAAAATAGATGTTGAAATGTTCTTTTTGATGATAATCTGACACCATTCCTCTTGAATCTGTTTGACGATTAATATGATGCCATTCCTCTTGAATTCCTGGCATAGTAAATCATAATTGTCTGATTTTAACTTTCTGATACAGGTTTATTTCAGCTCACTAACACCCAAGATACGATCTTTATGCACTTCATTTCATTTTTGATGACTTCCAGTATTCCTAGATTCACACATAGTACTACTCCATATTCCAATTATTAATGGATGAGTGCAACTGTTGTTATCATTGTGAGTCGTGTTCCATCAGCATATAAAGGCCCTGAAAGCTTTGCCTCATCTACATCATTAAGGTTGACTCTATTTTGAGGAGACATCTCTTGCCCAATCATTTTTGAGCACTTTCTTATTGAAGCAGTTCATCTTCTGGTGCTATTGGACAATGTTCCATTGTAATTCGTACGGTTTTCAGTGACTAATCCCTAAGATGTTGACCACTAGTCTGTCTTTGTCTGGGAGCTCTCCTGACCCCTGTCCACCACATGTGACCCTGTTAGTATTTGAAACGCTAGCGACATAGCTTCTAACATCACAGCAAAATGCAAGCCACCACAGTATGGTAAACTGACAGACAAGTAGTGACTCCATAGCTACTGGCAATAGCAAGTCCCAAAGTGTCTGTTGAATGAATTATTGAGTGATGTGGGATAAACTCAGGAGGGAGTTTAGAACAACTCCTTGTAGGACTAGAATGGACTGCAGTGGTCATCTGGTCCCACCATCCAACTGAAGTTTGAATCTTCTTCCATTCCTGCCAGGTCATTTCAGCCCTCAGTTAGAGAATTCTCTGCACTTAATGGAACTCAGCAATCAATAGAATAAAAGAAATTTTAAGATAGCACCTGAATTCCAGAAGCAATCTAGGAGAAACAAAGTACGGAAAGAGGTGGTGCATGTCTGGAAATGACTTTTTAAACAAAGGATCCTAGGAGAACCTTAGAAGGGAGTAAAGGAAGAATAGGGAAAAGAAAAAATCAAGGAAAGGTATAGTTTTAGGCAAAGACTTGGCTTCAGCCTGATCTTACAGGAAGTTTGAGAGCTGTACTGTCCAAATATGGTAACTACTAGCCCCATGTGGCTGTTTAAGTTAATTTAAAATAAACATTTAAAATATAAAAATGAAGATTTCCATTCCTCAGTTGCTTCAGTCACATTTGAAGTGTTCAGCAGTCACGGTTACCAGGCTGGACAGAGCAGAAGGAGAAGAATCCCCACTGCAGACAGTTTTGTTGGCCAGCACTGACCTGGAATGTGAATCACTACCTCAGCACTCCTGCCGGCTCAGCAGGTTACTGGGCTGACTCTCCCACAGCAGTGGGTCCCAAGCTAAGGATGCGTAGAGGGACGCCAACTCACAGGCAGGCATGCCGGCTCACTAGTTCCAGTGGCTAACAGCTTGGAGCTGTCTGCTGAAGAAAGTCACAAGTGTGAGCCCTCCAAAGCAAAGCCCCAGATGGCATGGTGGAGTAGGCAGACACACTGAGCAGACCCTTTACAACAAAGCCATACAAGACCAAGTCAAAAAGATACAGATGGTCATCCTGGAACCCTGAATGCTTGTCAAAGGAAAGAACTGAGTGCTGACTGGAAGAGGAAGCTGAACAGGAGAATCAGGAGAG